TCTTTAACAAAGATTTATCACATTAGCAAACAATAGCAGATTACAAAGATAAACTCACCAATGTCCCAAGACCCAGGGCTATTGTTCTCAATCTCACGGCGGCCAATGAAGTACCAGACGCAAGCCATCCAATGAGCCAGCAGAGCAAACATGGACATGAGCAAGGTGAGCACCACAGCGCTGTATTGTGAGTACCGCTCCAGTTTCTGCAGTAAGCGCAGGAGTCTTAACAACCGGACCGTCTTTAGAAGATGAACCCCGAAGGTCTGTGGAAATAAGGAAAAGAAAACAGACTAAAACTATGCACAAAACCATTGTTATGGTAGATTTTGTGAAATGTGGTGTGCCCCAAGGTTCAGTGTTAGGGTCAATAAAAATGTTGCAAAAATGTCTGTATTTAAGCCACAGTGGCCTTTACAGGCAAACGCACACACTCACCACGCTGACGTTGAATGCGTGGAGTAGGTCAAAAGGCAACGCAGCGATCAGATCCACAAAGAGCCAGGTGGTGACGTAGTGCACACAGATGGAGCGGGCGTCGTACACCACCTGGCCTGACGTGCTCACGAATGTGGTGCGGAAGTTCAACACAATGTCTGGCAAAGAGAACAACACAATCAATCACTGCTGTTTTAATAGCTCTATTAAATGTTTGAACCTTACTTTTTCAACTTATAACTAACAGGGAGAAATCAATATGTGTGCCAAAGAGTAGCCGTTTTTCCTTAAAGCTCAGAGAAAGACTTAGCCCAGGGCAACGTCTCATCAAAGCTGGAAGCATGTGAATAAACCAGAGTTTCTCTGGCAGCGAAATCAGAAGCATTTATGGAGAATGATCTGGCATCTATTCTCTTTCATCATGATGAAACCATCACTTAATGAACAAAACAACCTGTTAGTAAACACAACGCAGTTTGAAGCCATAAAATCAATCCTGGCTGAGCCTGTGAGATGCATACTAAAACTTTTTAATCTGTGCCAGTAATGAGGAGTTTATTAAAAAATCCCATTTGATTCTGACTTTTATAGTTATTGAATACAACAGAGCTCATTCTGGAGACAGAACTAAGTATGAGTCTCAGGTGGCTCCCGGCTGTCTGGCTGGTCAAAGTCGCTACAAAGAGAGTGATCCCAGGTTTCTTCTTCCATTTTTATACATCGCTGTTGTCGGGAGAAAACCTTGTATCTCCAAAATGGTGACTTTACAGGAGAAGGAAAAAACCTACTTTACTTTTAATGTAAGTCAATGGAACCAGACTTTTTTCCAAGTCATTTTGGGCCGTTTCTTTTGTTCTGTTCATCATGAAATTTACATACAATGTGAAGAGCAACATGCATTTTCAAATTATGCCAAAAACTGAAAAATGACAAAAATAGAGATAGAAGATTTTCTTCTGACAGCAGCGATATGAAACACCAAAAAACATACAGCATGGATCAAAACACATTCACTGTGCAGAATTTGTTCCCCCCCTACTGGTCTTGTAAACTCATTCAGATTCACTCCCTGTTTACTCTTTCATTTTGGTAGCCAAACATATCTCCCTCACTTTGTTTGCCCTGTAAGACGTGGAGAGGAGTTTAATTTCACGCAGTAGCTAAAATTCCGCTTAAAAAACAAAGGACAGGACTTTGTTGTGGTTAAATAAACAGTGTATGTTGACTCTGAAGAGATCAGAGAGGTGGCCAGTCAGCCCATTACTGTTAAAAAAAAACACCATGTATCTCCAAAACAGCAACTTTACAGGAAAAGGCATGAAAAGTAAAGAAGGTTCTTTACTTTTACTGCAAGTGAATGTAAAGAAATTTTATTCTAAGTCATTTTTGGACCATCTCTATTGGTCCATTTATGCACACACAATGGAGAGGGGAGCTGCTGTGCTCAAATTACATCAAAAATGGAAATACATGATTTTGGACAACAACGATATGCTACAGAAATTGGTGGTAGACATTTGATGCCTGCTGTATATCTCCATTACTGTCTTTCAATCATTAAAAGCATTGGTGTGACCAACTTGTCTTCTCCTTAGACCAGGGCTCCCCAAAGTGGGCTAAATATGGCCCAGAAAGACATTTGATTTAGCCCCCAAGCAAGTTGCCCTAACCCCACCCCTCAGACATATTTTTATGCTATATCTCCCTTTTTTCTTTTAATAATTGTATTTCCATGCACTTATAGTAGGTAATACAAACTCAATATGAAACGTTTTATTCTTTTACTGTTTTGTCTTTTTGTCCCTCGGCCCACCACAAACATTTCACTTCTGTCCCTCAAGACAAAAATGTTTAGTCACCCTTGTATTAGACTATCATACAGACATGCATTAAAGAAGCAATAACATATGAATTGCTATTGGTAACAGGGTAGAAATCTAATCCAATACAATTTGACTCAGGTTGCCAAGATGTAATTATAAAACGATTCTTTAGGCATCATTTTTAAAAATTTTCTATCGCATATATTATAATTTCTCACATATTCTGTCCATGTTCATGAGTATCTTTAGTTTGAGTGTAGCCTACATACAACACATTACATCATAACGGTTGTCTAAAAGCTCTTTAGTATTTGCATTTTTTACATCATACAATCTTAAGAAAAGGTGCCACAAAGCATTCTTTGAGCGAAGGTTTGGTTCCACTTTTGATTTTAGAACCATGTTTGGAAAGAGATTGTTGAAATTCCTTGGAATGGGGGTTTCTTTAAACTAGAAAAAGGTTTATGAGTCTCACATATTTCACATTGTAAAGAACCACGAAAGGATTTTTAGGGAATCACCAAAAGTTGTTCTTCTACGGCACCTTTCATAGAACCCTTTTAAGAAGCTGTATGTTTAACCCTGTTTGCTTGCTGAAATGCGTGTTTTTCATTTGGTTTGATTAGCTTTCCAGTTTGGCCAAAGCGTGCCAAATTATGTGGGTGTTCTTAGATTGGTTAAGCAATTTGAGATACAAGCTTTACTTCAGTATTTGCCTTTGTTAGGGCCTTTTTTATCTTCCAGATCTATCTCCCAGATATTTTCCTGATAAAATGTACAATCCTACCCATAATGTTGCATGAAATCACACACTTTTTTACATGCATCACAATTAAAACCATAAAACAAAACTTTATTTGCTTAATGTTCAATTGTTTTTATTTGGAGTCCGTTTGATTTTGACTGGCCCAACGAATCAAAAATGCCTTCCATTTTCCAAGTGATTAAATCAAATGCCTTGTTTCCTTATTATTTCATTGCTCATCTGTCATTATAAGCAGTAGGAACCATATGAGCACCTGTGAAGAACAGGCAGATTATGTGGACAGTGCAGCCCTGATGTGCTGCTAGAAGTTTGTTTAGAAGATGGTTTAGGACCATCGTAAAAACGTGTTCCCAACAGCTGATGTGAATGTCTTACCTAGAATAAAAAGGATCTCCACCAAGATGTCACTCACACTTGGTGGGCTTCTGTTGGTTGATCCATCGTCCCGCCCACCAACCACGGTGAAACAAACATTGTAAGGTACAGTGACCGCTACGTAAAAGGTGGCTAACAGAATCAGCCAATCCCAGCCAGCCTTGAAGGTGCCATAATGAAGCAGGATAAAACGAGATTTCTGAATGGCCGCCACTTTGTACTCTGGAATGGGCGGCTTCTCGCCAAACATGTTCTGAAAAGAGAGAGAGAAGTATGAGTAGAACAGAATCACATGAAGAACCATGAACCAAAGCTTGGATTCCTAACAAATAGCTGTCCTTCACCTTAATGACAGCTTCAAACCTGAGGTGTACTGTGAAAACATTTCAGCAGGAAATCATTGAAAATGTGTTTTTTTTACTTATTTCTTCCAAAAAACATTGCTTCCCATAGACCTCCATGCACCATAACTAGAGGACAGAGATGATACTGAACTGTTGTTGTGCTTGCAGTTGTAAAATACCATTTAGAACCTGGAACTGGATGCAATTTCTACACTCATTGTCCATTTTATCAGCTCCACTGACCATATAGGGGCACTTTTTAGTTCTACAGTTACAGACTGTAGTCCATCTGTTTCTCTACACACTTTGTCACCCTTTTCTTCAAAGGTCAGGACCCCCACAGGACCCACACAGAGCAGGAATTATTTGGGTGGTGGGTCATTCTAAGCACTGCAGTGACCCTAGCATGGTGGTGCTGGAGGTTTTAAACACTTCAGTGTCACTGCTGGACTAGTCCACCAACCAAAATCATCCAGCCATCCACGTCCTGTGGGCAGCGTCCTGTGACCACTGACGAAGGACTAGAGGATGACCAACATGAACTGTGCAAAAGCAGATGAGCTACTGTCTCTGACTTTACATCTACAAGGTGAACCAACAAGGTAGGACTGTTTAACAGAGTGGACAGTGTTGTGTCTGATCCACTCAGACCAGTGCAACACACACTACTAACACATGCTTTAACTTTAGGGCATGTTAATGTAAAGAAAATGGTGCTGTGAAGTCTTGATATGACTTTGAACACACGCTATTTAAACCATAGATGATCAAGGGGAGCCTTCAAGCAAGTGTACTGAAGTGTACTGTGTGTGCAACATGGTGAATATTGGCTAAAATAAGGGTTTTTCAAGGTGGATATGAGCCCACATGCTTTCAGTGATGAATACAAATGTTGTTTATCTGCCCATCCTGCAAGATCCATCAACATCACTGTTCGTCTGGTCAAATTTTCACTTTCCTCACGTTGCAGTAGACCTTTATACCTCAGCCTTCTTTCCTGGAATAAGCTGAATCAATCCATTATCCTGGGGTTGTCTTGTGCAATCCCTAAGAAAAAGTCTTAGAAATGAGCTGCTGTTTGTAGCATTGGCCTTGATATATATCTTTCCTTATTTTGACATTCTCTTTGTCTAGATCTCCTGCTGCAGGGGGTTAGGATGCCATCGTAAGTGTTTCTGTTTCTAATGACATTTATCATCTAGTCTGGTTTACAACTGAAGCTTTAGAGGACAAGGAACATAAAAGAACAATCTGCAAAAAGTGATAATTGATATTTTTTGAAGTGAGTGTTGGGGAACAAATGGAACTGAATGTTTTTGTCTTAAGGGCAAATCAGCTGCAGTCAAACTTTGGCTGGAATGTGAGGTTTGTGGAGAGACGAGTGGTGAGTCAAGATAAGGATAAAGCTCAAGGTGGCTCTCTACAGATTTGTCTTAGAAAGGAAAGAAACTGCTTAAGCTTTAATTGTAGGGTCCTGCATTAATTACTACCAGCTGACAAATAACCAATAAGACAATGCGGTTCATTTCTAGTGCTGTTACTTAGTAAAAGTAATCCATTACAAATTACTTCTCTCAGACTGCAGAATACTTTACTTATTACTTCTGATCTCACCACTAATTACTGTTGAGTCTGAGTTACTCTCTAAAACTCTTACAAGTCCGTATGAAACAGGGGTTGCATGACTTCAGATTTTTTTAATTTTCTAAAGTTGACATTTGTGATAAAAGTTGAGTCAGCATTGACTAATCGCTGACTCCTGAATAAAAGCACAGGAGAAGGGAATGCTTTGCAATGAGCGACTTAAAAAATCTGACTTTAAAAACTGATGAAGCCAAACTCTGCAGGTCAGTAGATCGTGACATGCCCTTTCCAACAAGCCCTGGGTCGCATTGCTAGCCTTCAGGGAACCAGAGATATGGACACTGGAATCGTTTCCAACTCGCAGAGGCTTGCTGAGATGGTCACAGCAGAGGTCCAGAGAGCCAGAGAAATTTAGGGTGCCATAACTCAACGTTAATGTATCTTCAGGAGACTAGAGATGAAAATGTTCAATGTCTGATCTTTAAAGAACTGTAGATCAGCATAGAAATGTTAGAATGAAGTCAAACTCCACGAGTCAGTAGAGCATGATGTACCCTTTCCAACGAGCCCTGGCTAACCTTCAGGAAACCGGAGATTAATTATCACCAGGCTCTACACCTGTTGTCTTCTCTGTGGCATCCATGTTGTTAGGGTCATTATCACATGATCAATGACTTGTCAACATCAAGCTTAAAGTGTCATCACCAAACAGTAAAGTCGACTAGTTGACTAGTCTGTGCAGCCCCTAGTACCAAATGGAAAGCATGAGGGAAACCCAGTAGTCCTTTCAGTATGTTATTTAGAAAAAAAAACAGCCAATCACAGTAAAGGCATGTTACTATTCATTACACTGAACATGTCTGGCAATTATAGTTAAAATGCTATGCTAGACTTAGAAATCTAGTCAGCTTAGAAACAGCTGCCGGTAACCGGTAACACTTTCTATGAAAGTCACGTTTGTAAGCATATATAAACACATTCATAACTTGTTATAATGCATTCATAAGGCATTATAAACATGGCTATAAATATTTATAAAAATGCATTACATGTTATAGCCATGCTTATTATGCATTATGAATTGTTAACATAATGCATTATAAGTACCGTTCATAACAAATTATAAGAGCTCATAAGTCGTATTTGTCCGCTCTAAGTAAAGTGAAGCATACTGTACTAAAGCCTCCTCCAGTGTTCAGAGTGAGGCTTCAAGTTGAAGTATTTACTGAAGGATTTACTGAAACACTAAAACATTCACAATAAAGCACATTACAGGCTTCAAATGTCAGAGTTTAAACTAGAGCTGCCATCAGTGTTTTACCCAATGTGGGAAAGGTAATGTACACCACCGTTAGCTTGGCACTAACTTAACACTGCATATCCAATAGAATGCTAACAGAAATTAGCATTACTGTAGTGTAGTGATGTTACAGAGTGAAGGGTTCTAGTGCTCAACGTGAGAACCAGTGAGGGAACAAATTACAATGAACTCTACTATCTCGCCTCTCCCTCTCCAGGCCTTCACTCCTCAGTGACTTCACGCTCAGTGTGATTTCAGAGGGGGTTCAGGGGAGGGGCTGATGGGTACTTGGTTTGCTGTGATGTAGTGTAACATTTAAAGTGAGAGCTCTGGGTAAGAAAAGCGCATTGTAGCAGTAATTCTAGGTTGGACAGCCTGTTTGGAGCATCTGAATATTCAGGACTGAAGCCCCGAAGATGCCGCCCTAACAGCACCAACGGCGAGAAATATAATAATGGAAGTCTCAGGACATAAATAAGCTTTGTATTTGTCTTTACTTTAAGCTCTGCAAGCTGGGACTGACTTCTTCGGAACTGACAGCATAGCATGTTATTAACACTACTTATAATGTACTATATTAACCATTCATAATGTATAATAAACATTTTCATTTTTATAAATATTTATAACCATGTTTATAATACCTCATGAATGCATTATATATGTGTTGATAGATGCTTACAAATGTGACATTCATAGAAAGTGTTACCCAGCTGCCTTGAAATAAAACCTTCATGAATAAAAGGTGAAGCTTACAGAGTTGTTCCTGAATGAAAATCAAGTCTAACCTGTTTAGGTGATGTTGCGTCTCTCTCTTCTTCATCCATGAGTTTCATATGAGCAAGATTAGATGCCTCAACATATGCTTATTGAGTTACAAAGTTCCATAGGTAGCTGATGCATGTAGTGCATACATTTGTGATAATCTATATAGAGGAAATGTATGCTTTAAATGAGTTGCACATAATTGACATTGTTCTCTCAGGGACAGAAGCAACAAAGTCAATAATGTAGTATGATGAAGGATTTAATGTAATGTTACGCTGTTTTGTTACAAAAAAAGTAAAAGGGCATAACTGTTATACACGACTTGTACCCTTCACAAATAATATGGTTAAAATAGTAACTTAAATTTGGTCTCAGCTGTACAATCTGTCCAGCTTCGGCTATTTAGGCTCCTGTGAGGAGCCATGCCGCTTATTATCCAGTGAAAGTAGCTCACATTACCAACCACGAATGTAATGGAAATGAAATGGCTTGCAAATGGAGGAAAACAGGTGTTTTGGAACCACACAGGTTTACCACACAGACCAATCCTGACATTTTTAAAGTTTATTTGTGGCTTTGGAGATGGGTAGAAAACCCATTACAAACATATACGCTGAAAAGTAGCCAGCAACGGTTGCTAAGCAGTGATTGGAGGGCTGAGAAAAATGGGGCAGGACTTGAGATGGTCTGACTGGCTCTGTTTGTGATGTTGGCAGACCAGTTGCGCCCCTGTCCTGTAGTACGGCACATGGATTCTTTTGTATATGGGATACTGTACAGTATCCTACTGATGTACCCTGTGCCCTGTTGGATTTCAGTCGGGTGGGAGTATGTTGGAAGAAGCTGAGGGCAAGTTTTTTTGGACCATTCAGAATTAGAATTAGCCTTGCTTCCAAAAACCAAAGTCTTCTAGCTGAGCCTGAGTGGCCATCAGTGTGAGAGCTAGCTAGCATTTTGAGATTGGGCCTACATCCACTGACAGTAGTGAAATCACTGTAATGCATGGCATCTTGTGGCTTATTGCTTTAATAAGAAAGCCTGTGTTTGCAGTGCCCACTTTAAACACACATTTAAAAAGATACATTTCTTTAGTCTACCTTAGTCTGTGAATTTAAACTGTTCTGTCATTGTACAATTATTTAGCAAATGCTAAAACTGTATTAATTATTTGTTGTTTATCACTAATAGTGATTATTTATCAATAATAGTGCTTGAATGATTTGTTGTCAGTCATTGCCACCTAACTACATCGTTTAGCAAATGCTAATGGGTGTTTGGATGATGCGTTATCTATCACAGCCACTTAGCCACAGCACTACAATTTAGCAAATGCTAACAGTATCTGCATGATGTTTTGACCAACTTCCTACTTGCGCTAGATACTAACCCTTACCATGGCTACTGTTACTGTGGTCACTCTTGGTTCAAAGTACCTTTACCTCTTTAACTATATCCCAAATAGATTTGAAGTGCGACTACTGCCAGAAAATAAAAGCTTAAAATAAGTGAACCATTTGCTGCCATGCGTTATTTATATTGCTGTCGCCACTCAGTAGTTAATCACTTTGTACTCTAAAACCCCCAAATCATCCTTATTAGGCAGAGAAGCTGAGTTCTTTTAACTCCTTTCAGTTCTCTGAGATCTTTTAACTCCATTTAAATGGTAATTTAGGATATATTATTTCAAATCTAACTAAGGATAACAAAACTGTGTAATTTGATATGTTAACATTTGCAATCAAGTTGAAAACCCCCTGTAATACAATGCTTCATTCAACATTCACAAAGGCTAACATTACTAGCTAGCTAGACATGCTAACATGTTTCCTCAACTTTCATTTATTGTCAGCTACATTAGAAACTATTAAATATGGGCTATAATAGTGATGCACTTACATTGTTGATCTTGAGCTTGCTCTTGTCCTGTTTCTGCAGGTGTCCAGACAGCTGGTAAAGCACGGCCCGGCTGCGGCGGCGGTTAGCGTTGAAACCTTGTGGCCGCGTGACCTTATGGACCTCCAGTCCCGTCTCTTCATCTGATCAGAGGACAGATTTTAATGTAGTTTGCTTTTGACTTGATTCACTTGAGATTTTAGATTAGAAAGGAAAATAAAATTGGTTTGAAAATGGGAGAAAGTCATCGCCAACAGGTTACAGCATATCAGCCCGTTATAGAAAAGTCATAGCAAATTGTAACAGATCAGGAAACTTTCAGAACCTTCTGTACTTTCACTACATATACATGCTTTACTGAATAAAGAGGAGCGGCATGAATCTTTCTTGCCTGCTTTGCAGTTCATACAAGGTAAATATACTTCATGCATTGACTGAATAATGACTAATTCTAATGGACATGGTACCTTCTGCTTACATGAAAGATTACTCCTGCTGCAGCTGATGATGAATAATTGAAAAGGGCTGGGGTTACGCAACCATCACAATAGAGAACAGTACAGTATTAACATGGTTTCAGGGATATTTCCTCTAAAAGGAGGACTGATGAGACAGCATGACACACTACGCTCTCAGATCTGCCGTCGGTGCTGTATCTTTTTTTTTCTTTTTTTGCTGTCACATTCATTCTGTCCTCTGCTGTGTTTTTAATACACCCTTCATCTCCCTTTCAAACTGCTTGTTCTTGTTCTCCACACAGTTAGACTCAATTCAGATTCCTTTAAACTCAGTTCAGTAAACCTCAACCTGAAGAATGCAGGTTGCTTTCTTTCAAACAAGGAACGATAGCTTTAAACTAGGCATGAAACATCAATGCTACAGGGCCCGTATCATGGAATTTTCAACATTAAAAAAAAAATTTGATGCAGTATCTAAACATTGTTAAATTTTCAAAATGTACAGTTCATACAGTCAGGGGTGCTTAAAGCCACTCAGGGGTCCTGGGGCTCCAAGTGGTCGTGGGTCTAGTAACCCTGCGTTCACACCGGCAGCAATGCGACGCAACAAGGTGGCGGTGATTTGTTTTCAATGAGAGCTGGTGATTTCTGGCGTTAGGAGGCGGCGTAAATGTTGGCGACTTTATGCAAATAAGGAGCGAAGCAACGTGGTGATTACCAATAGGAATCGAGCATTGAGCAGCGCAGTACGCACTTTATCTCCGCCACTGTAAAACAGTGCACTTTTTTGGTTCCTAGATAATTGTTGCTACTACAGGTGGAATAATGGTGGTGGTGCTTTACCCGCAAATAGACAGTGAGCATGAAGCGGGAACTCATCTGATTAGTGCTTGGCGTCAGTTGGAGTTCAGAAACTAACCAATGGTCAGTTGGAGTTCAGAAACGACCACAGTCGATGAGCGATCAGCCATTTGGGCGACAAGAGGTGAAAAGTCGCTGTGAACGCAGGATTACACACAGCATAACGACACTGAAGTTAGCTTCTTATCTGCCAGGTTCCACCTTAAGCCCTGCGATGGATTAGCGACCTGTCCAGGGTGTATCCTGCCTTCCGCCCAATGACAGCTGGGATAGGCTCCAGCACCCCACCGCGACCCAGAAGGATAAGCGGTTTAGATGATGTATGTATGTATGTTCTACCTTAAATGGTGTTGCGGTTGCGTTCTGGTGCCTGTGACTGCTGCACCATTTACGGTGGAACGGAACATTTAAATAACAAGCTGGCGAAAAGGAAATCAGTTTTAGCCTCACCAAACGTAAATCCAGACCAATCTGCTAAAAGCCACAGTCGGTCAAAGTTTGAAATATGCAATGAACTAACAACCGAGCTCCACCAATGAGGCTGAAGTTGGCTTCTTTTCCTGTTCCACCTTAAATGGTGCCGGAATGTAACTGCTGCATCATTTAAGGTGGAATGGGAAAATTTGAACAAGAAGCTGGCGAATAACAAGCCCAATTCAGCATTGTGGTCCACAACAAGCTGTAGTCTGTCGTTGATTCAGTGTCGTAGGTAGATGTAAATCATTGTTTATTTCCAAATTCTAAACGTGTGGACCCAAACATGACTGACAAGACTTCAAAACCTAAACCTACTTGTCATAGGTAAAGCATACAGCCATATATATGTGGACATATAAATTGTTTATTCATGTCTTACCTTCGTTTGCTTTGACATATTCACCCAGCCCATTTCAGCCTTTGTAGTAAAAGAGCATCATAAGTACCAAATTTGCACCACATTTCTACAATGGCGATGGTAGAAAACGGTGTTTTCTACAGGACAGAATCTCACATTTAACCGGAACTGGAGCTTCAAATTCAAACACTGGCGCGCTGATAACAAACTGAGCTTGAGGCAGCGGCGGATAGCAACGGTTGCTGTGCAGTGATTGGAAGGCTGAGGAAAAGAAGGCAGGGCTTGGCGGAGATTGTAATAATGTGATTGGCCAGTGACAGCAACCACAGAAAACAAATAAACAAATCAAATTTCATTATCCTAAAAATTTGGCTTAACTCATTTTCTTCCCCAATTTGATTGAGCAGGCCTGTTATCAAACTGGGTAGAAGGAATAAATAAATCTCATTTAGACGGCCAATCAGGGATCAGGGCTTTAGCCTAGGTTAACCCGTGCATTTACTCGCCCGTGCATACAGTCCACACAGCCTATATATAAAAGCTAAAACAGCCTTTTTGGACCCTGCTTTTGTGATGTCACAAAAAAAACATTGCATTTACATATTTCTATATTCATACAAACTATTCTGCCTACAGCTGTTTAGCCCCACCTATTCCTGTTGAAGTTATAAGAAGTGCTGTCTGAATGAAACACAATACAGAGCTCTCTCTCTCTCTCTCTCTCTCTATATATATATATATATATATATATATATATATACATATATATCAGTCTTAAAGGTAACAAGAACAGCCTGTTTGGAAAATTATCACGTATAAATTAATTACACAAACATCACCAGAGAGGAAATAAATGAAATGTAAGAAAACTGATATTGGCCATTTAACAGTGTTAACTTTGGCTAATTAGCTGACCTAAAGACGAGGGCGAGTCCTGTGAGAGAGTCAGGCTAATGGTCATTATTAACAAGTGCCTCTTCGCTCTAACTGTCCGTTCACCTCTCCGTCAGTTCGCCTCTGTTTTCAGTCTGAGGAGAGAAGAAGAGTCAGTATTACGGTAACAGCTATCGCCGCGTGGAACGCTGACCTACATACGGCTGTTCCAGAACGAATGACTCATCAGTCGGAGAGAGAGAGAGAGAGAGAGAGAGAGAGAGAGAGAGGTGTTCAGTAATCACAGAGGAGGGGTGGAACAGGTGTTCCAGTGAAGCGCACAGAGGAAGCCTGAGGTAATCGCTCCTGTCAGCAGGCCACGATACCTGTACAGTGTGTTTACCTGACCTGCTGAAGGTTACTGGTCTCTCTCTCTCTCTCTCTCTCTCTCTCTCTCTCCCTGTCTCTCTCTCTCTCCCTGTCCCTCTCTCTTCTTCTTTTACTTTCTCTCTCCCAATCTCGATACATCTCTCCTCCTGTCTCCTGGTCTGTCTCTCCTTCTTTCTTCCTCTTTCCTTTCCCCATCTCTCTATTTTCCTTATGCTGATCTCTCTCCCTCTATCTCTCTCTCTCTTTTAACTCCTATCCCACCTCTTCCTCTCTCTTTCTCCTATCTCTTCCTCTACTTCTCTTCTCTTCTCTTCTCTTCTCTTCTCTTCTCTTCTCTTCTCTTCTCTTCTTTCTCTCTCTCACTCACTGGCTCTCCCTCTTTCTTTCCCTTTGTCTTTCTCTGTTTCCCTTTTTTCTTTCTTCCTCCCCTTTGTCTCTTCCTCTTTCTTTCTTTCTTTCTGTCTTTCTCCCCCGTTGTCTCTCTCTCTCTTTCTTCGTCTCCCCTGTCTCTCTCCCCGTTTTCTCGCTTTTCTCCTCCTCCCCTCTTCCCTTTCTTCCTCCCTTATGTCTTTCACTCTGTCTCTTTTCTCCTTTCCCCCTTCCTCCCCTGCGCTTTTTCTCTATCCCCCTTACTTGCTTTCTCTCTCTCTCTCTCCCTCTTTCTCGCTGCTTGTCTCTCTCTGCCTGCCTCACTCTTTCTCCTTTCCCCTCCTTCTCTTCTTTCTCTCTGTCTCCTGCTCTCTCTCTTTCTCTCACTTTTCTCCTTTCCCCCTCTCCCTTCTCTGCTTTTGTCCCTTCCTCCCCTTCTCTTTTTCTATCTGTCCCCCTTGTTCTTTCTTTCTCTCTCTCTCTCTCTCTCTCTCTCTCTCTCTCTCTCTCTCTCTGTACTTTGTTACTCATAGCTCGAGGCCTGTCTCTCCGTCTGTGGTGAGTGTTTTTTTTTCTGGTGACCAAACAATATCAGCACTAAAACACAGACACCGCCAGTCCTGCTTTACTGCAGGGCGTCTTCACAATGATGATAACGAAATGAACCAAAGAGCATGTTTGACTTACAAACTCTAAATATGCCAACACTAATTACAGCTGCATTCTGTGTGGAAGCGTAAGTCTGTGTGTGAGTCTCCTCCATTTGAATAAAATATCTGCCACACTTTCATTAAATTTGCATGCTTAAATGTTTTTTTTGTATGGTCAAATGTTCTTCTGATGTGGATGTGTTGTATATAGTTCTACATAGAACCTTTTTTGAAAATTGTTCTGTATGGCACCAGAAGGGTTCAAGCTTGTAGCAATAGAAGAACCCTTTTTGGTGCTATGTAGAACCATATACAACACATTCTTCATCAATCTGAAGAACAATTTCACCATCCAGAGAACCACTTAAGCATGAAAATGATTCTTTCAGTGTTCATGGTTCTATATAGAAACATTGTCTTTACTAAGGAACCCTTAAAGAACCATCTTTTTTAAGAGGGTAAGGTGTAATATCTCACTGACACTGACTAGTGTTCTCTGGAGTGATGGAGGTCCAATACCTTTGGAATGAGTTGGAGATCCAGAACTAATCATCCAAAATCAGTACCTGACCTCACTAATGCTCCTGTGACTGCCATCAAATCCTCACAGCAAATGTTCCAACATCTAGTGTAAAGCCTTCCTAGAAGAGTAGAGGCTGTTACTGCAGCAAAGGAAGATAAACTCCCTATTAACATCCCTGACTTCAGAAGAAACGCTGGATGATCAGGTGTCTACAAACTTTTGGACACTTTGTGTGTTTCAATGTAGAAATGATGTACACATTTGATTTTAGTGTCACTGCAGTGAGTGACCGCTATAGAATTAAAGAGTAAAGTGCCAGGCCAAACCAGGTACTTCAGAAACGTTATCACTCATAGAGACACTCAGATGTTATCCAGATTATGAGCTCACTCACAAAATAATCGGTCTGATTTATTGTAATCCTTGATTATATGTAATCCTTCAAAACAGTGATCCATAAAAAGTAACTGTAATCTGATTACGCTTATTTTTGACGGTATCCTACTGTGATTACAAGCACTTGATATTTGAAATCGGATTATATAATCCAGATTACATGTTTTCTGTGTGTGTGTGTGTGTGTGTGTGTGTGTGTGTGTGTGTTTGTGCGCTCACCCGTCTCTGGACACTGCTCTTCATCCTGGTCCTTCTTATTGTCTGTGATGTCTTTATGGGACACCAGAAACAGCACCACTTCTCCCTTCTCATTCTTGATGGGCACGATGTCCAGCAGACACCAGAACTGAGTACCTGCCAATCAGAGATGTTAATATGAGATGCACTTTACCATAAAAATCAGCCTTGCCATATTCATACACTCACTGGCCACTTTATCAGAAACCCCTCTCTTGTAGCTCCCCCTTTCTGGCATAAAGTCATCCTCTAGTCCTTCATTAGTGGTCAGTTTCTGACCACAGAGCCGATACTGGCTGGATATTTTTTAGTGGTGGATGATTTTCAACCTTGCAGTGACACTGTTGTGCTGAGACCACAAATAAAATATGGACAGTGTTGGTCTTATGGTGGTCCCTTTCCACTGATAAATGGGGGGGAGGGGCTAATAAAATGTGAAAAAAACATGGCTACAGTCTGTAACTGTAAACCTATGAAGTGCACTAATATGGTAGGTGTTTCTAAACAAAGGGCCAAGTTTATGTGCCTAATAAACTGGTGTAGGATGAATCATTACATTGTAATTACAGTACAATTACATTATTATTATAATAATTGAGGTATCTAATTATACATACCGTCATATTATTACATTATAAATAACACACCGTAATTGTCATTTTATTTTGCGAGTCCACTGCAGATGCTCAGCTAGTCTAACAAACATTTAATAAAGTATCTATTAATATCTCATTTCAATATCAATTCAAAACCTAATTCTGACCCTAACCCTAAAGCTAATGTCATGAAAAAAATCAATAATTTTGAATCTGTAGGGAAAATAAAGTGACCAAAAATAAAGTGTGACCATGAAGTTATCTGCTACTTTTCAAAAATTAAAATTATCTTGGAATTTTATAGTGCCGAGGAATAAGACACACAAAGTATAAGACTATAAGGTAGTTTATAAAAGGAATCATAACACACACACACACACACACACACACACACACACACACACACACACACACACATGCACACGCACACATGTACTACGCCGCTTGTCCCTCTGGGTCGTGGGGGGAGTCGGAGCTTTTCCCAGCAGTGGAATCATAAATAAAATAAAAAATAAAAATAAAATGATCAAAAAAATGTCACAACATAAGAAGAGAATAGTAAGTGAATAAGGTTATGAATTCATATGAGTTATTCTGGGTATTCATTTTATTAGAACTTCATTCTGGGTGTTACCTGTATTACAACTGGAGTGATGCTATACAGCCCATGTGTCAAACCTAAGGCCTGTGGTGCCGAGGCAGGCCTGCGCCACAATCCTATTCAGCCTGCAAAATTATTTTAATTTTCTATTAATATTAGCCCATTTCACCATGAGCTGTACTACACTTCCCAGCATGCACTGCAACATAATATGTGCTCCCACCCCCTCCCCAAAAACCATCTATAACCATCACCACAAAAAAAAAGATGCCAGGTGTTTAGTTCAAGCGAATGGACTGTTTTAAAAAACCTAACACAGCTAATGTAGTCTATTGTTTTATATAAAACAATTTGTTTTTATTTCAAATTATTTTTGCATCATTCAAGTATAGACTGCCTATTTTTTGCTGTTGAAGTTTTGGCATATTTTGAATAAACAATGGCCAGTTGGGGTCAACATGTTAGATAAGAATGAAATAAAAACACAGCTGGCCCACAGATCTGTTGAGGTTTTTTAATATGGCCCTTTTAGTGGTTGAGTTTGACACCCCTGCTATAGCAGAACCAGCTTTGGTTCCCTGAAGAAACCTTTGGTGGATGGTTTGGTGAAGAACCATGGATAAGATTTATGAATGTGAAAAACCTTTTTAATTTTAAAGAACCTCCAAGCAATGAAACACTCCTCCACCGTTTGAATGGTTTTTTCTAAGTCAGGAGTCTTTTAGGAGCCTTCGTTCTGAAGAGTGTAAACAGTGTTTCCACCCAAATCTAAACATCGCAGCCCTGAGAGACGGAACAATATTGCAGGGAAACTTGTCCTGTTTGTTGTATCTGTTTGTCTAACGCAGACAGAGAGTAAATCAGCTCCGGCTGCTGGAGGAGATTGCAGACTCTGCTGGCAGGACTGTCTTTATCCCTCCTAAGCCTGCACGCATACCTCGAGTCAAATTGGAAAAAAATATGAAGGAGCAATTTCAAAGGTGCCAGTCTCAATAAAGCAGCAGATCAAGCAGCATGAGCATGTTTGTGTGTGTGTGTGTGTGTGTGTGTGTGTGTGTGTGTGTGTCGCTCTCTCCGGGTGGGTGGGATGCCCCCTCTTCCTCCACCATTCAACAAAATGCCAGCAAACGTGGCCGTCTGCTGACTGACATAACAGAATTAGTGTTCTCCTCCAAGCGTGTTGAGCTCCAATGACTTTGTGTTAGCAGCAGTTTGAAATGATGTATTGGAGCTTTACATGTCTCAGCAGAAGCGCCTGCTAGACTTCACCCTCCCAGCTTCACAGCATTGTGCGATTAATTAGAATTAGCTAGCAGGTGAAAATGAACATGACTACAATAGGGAGAAAATTGAGCAAGAAAAAAAAAGAGTTTGTGGTTAATACCAGCGATAACAAAAAACTTTTGTAATCTGATATTATTCATAACTGCTAACTAACTATTAACTATCATTCCTACTAGTATGAACTATTAGCTACTACGAATAGTTTATAAACCACTAAGAATAATTTAGAAAGTGCTATGAATTATTCAGTAACAACTAAAAATCTGTAGCCACTATGAATTATTCAGTAACCACTATAAATTATTCAGTAACAACTAAAAATCTGTAACTACTATGAATTATTCTGTAACTACTATGAATTATTCTGTAACCACTATGAATTAATCAGTAACTACTATGATCTTTTTAGTAACCATTATGAATTTTAAGTAACAGTTATTAATTACTGAGAAATTACTGCAAATTAATCAGTAACCACTATGAATTATTCAGTAACTACTATGACTTATTCAGTAATTACTATGAATGATTTAATAACTATTATGACTTATTTAGTAACCATTATGAATTACATAGTAACTACTGTAAATTACTCAGTAACCACTATGAATTATTCAGTAACTCCTATGAATTTTATAGTAACCATTATTAATCACTCAGTAACTACTGTGAATAATCCAGAAACCACTACAAATGTTTCAGTAAGTACTATGAATTATTCAGTAACTACTATAAATCATTTAGTAACTATTATGAATCACTCATTAATTACTGTAATTTAATCAGTAACTACTATTAATTTTTTTCAGTAATGACTACAAAATTACTCTGTAACTCACTGTAAACCGCTATGAATTATTCAATACAAAGAAGAATTATTCAGAAATTCAGAAATTATTCAGTAACCAGTACATTTTTCAGTAACTACTATGAATTATTAAGTTACCACTCTGAATCATTCTGTAACTACTATAAATTACTTAGTAGCCACTATGAATTATGCACTTATTTAGTAACTACTATGCATTATTTGGTCACCATCATGAGTTATTCAAAAAAATACTATAAATTATTCATGAACTAATGAAATTTTCCATATCTGAAACTAACCTGATATTTAGGTTTCGTAGATAAATAGTGAAGAATTGAGAAAGTGAAGTGGGGGTTTAAGGGATTAACATCCCAGTTCCAGAAAATGACCACTGATCTTTTCATACAGTGTTGCATTGAATGCCCTGGATTTAAATGTGGGCATCAATTCCATATGAACAAAGATATTACATTAATATGGCAATTGTTGCTAAATGCAAACAAGCTGAAAGACAAAATTGTGCGAATGTCATATAAATTATATGTCCAAAAATATTTATACACGCCTTCTCATAAGTCCATTGAGCCACTCGCTGACAACGGTGTTCAATGGCACAGTCACTGCTTGTATAATCGCCAAAGAAAAGCACTGACCAATAGAACGGGGTGCTCTAAAGGAGCCACTCATGAGCCGAAGGTCACCATGCCCAGTGCTAGGTGTGGACTAGAGGGGTATAAAGCCCCCCAACATCAGAACTGTGCTCTCTGGAATGATGGATCTCTGTCCAGTACCCTTGAGATAAGGGGTGATTGTGATCCAGAACAGATCATCCAACATCGGTACCTGACCTCACCAATACTCTTGTGGCTGACTTCAATCAAATACTCACGGCAAGATGTTTCAACATCTATCGTAAAGCCTTCCCAGAAGAGTAGAGGCTGCAGCAAAAGGGCAACCTCCCTATAAATACCCTTCATTACTCAAGAAATGAGCAGGTGTCCAAACTTTTGGACATATGGTGGACATGGAAGTCCAACGCAACACTGATTTCAGTGCAGTTCTAACAAGCTCCTAATAATCTGAGGAGATTCAGGGCAGTCAGTCAGAGCAACAGAAAGAAAAAGAGACAGACAGAGGGAAAGGAAAAGAATGGAGTGTGTCATTTCTTTAGAAAATAAGAACAATACTGGATCAGTACTGCATTATTTCTGATTCAGTGAGTTTTAAAGACGTCTTTTCATACAGAAACTGCTCTGAAAGCAGGTAGTGTAGAACAGACCATGCTGCAGTGAAGGAAATCAGGCAAAAATCATGCTCATCACAGACAGATGGGTGCTAAATGAAACCCACTGTGTGCTTATATGTGTGCTTTGAGAGTCACATCAACACGACTCAATAGAAGTGACCTTTATGTACAAATATGAGAGAAAAATACCACTGATTTGAAAAAAACAGCTGCAATAATTTGCCAAATGGAGCGTTTCACTAATGCAGGTCGCATAAGTATGAAATTGATTGCTAATTAAATTGAATAACTTGTGTTAAATAATAGAACAAAATGATTTTTTTGTATTCAACTCAGATGTTCTTCAAAAAGGTGGGTCACCGCAAAGTATGCTAGACACAAACCCTGTGACAAGCACACATTGATTGCTGATTTAAATTGTTTTATTTTTTTTATTATATATAGATAAGACCATTAATAATTAGTTGCCTGTTAAAAAGGGGTAATTTGGAGCTCTTTTCTATGAACTTTAAGTACCCCTTTCACATTCACTACGTCATGGGACAATCGGCCAATCAGAAAACAGAGGCAAACACAAAA